GCTGGAAAATATTCAAACCAATCTAACGGATCATTATAACTCAAATAATCATCAGACTCTTCGGTACAAGACATGGCAATAGAATTGTTGTGCAAGAGAAGTTGACAACAGATGTCCGGCGGCAAGCTAAAACTAAAAAAAGAAATCTGATTCCACGGTGGATGTGGGTGGGTGTGGTAGTGGCTGTGGGTATGGATGAAGCGACTTTATAAGCAAGCATCCACACCCACACCCGGATCCCACATTTGCCACCATATCCACAATCCTGCTACCGACTTCAATATTGAAATGCTATTTAGCTGCATGAAACGCGATAAGGGATAAGAACAATTGCATTATGAGAAAGATTAAGCAGGTGTCGGTTGAAAATCAACAGAAAAAGTGGAATGAGCCAGATTATAAATAAAAAGCAATGAAAGAAAATGCTTTTATTATTATATTTTTTCGTTGGCGTAGACAAGATACACTTGATGCTTGATTGTCTTCTTCTTCCTTTAACAACGCTAGAAGCTTACTCCTTGGATAGACGAATTGGTCCGTGTCCCGAAATTCCACTTGATTCGTACGAATGTTTCCAACTTCTCTATGACAGATCGTTGAAGGTCATCAATATGAGTGACGTTGTATCGAGAAATTGGCAAATCACTCTAATGTATCAAGATCTTAGTCATTCGTTTCAAAAGTTGTTGCGTGTTGCTCCGGACAGCACGAGCGGGTTTCCTGCCGTAGGTGTATGGCCATCTATTTCTGAATGGGCCTCTAACGTTGCGGGATTGAATATTCGTCAACAAGGCTTCTCAGAATTGTGGGCTTATTTGATTGAAAAACTTCCACATTGGATGCAAGATATGATTGGGGAGTTACCTGCTGAGCTTGCTAATATATTTCTTAAAGATATTCGTTAAAATGCAGCTGTCGCACTTGTTCAAGGCAATCTAATAGTTTTTCAGCAAATCTCTTTAGCATATGCTCGCTATGGTGTAGAATTTTGTGGCAATACAACGATTCCGGATGATGCAAAAATGGCAAGGTTTGTGAAAGAATATGTGTCTGCAGATGATCAATGTGATCTTGCCAAAGGCCTCTGGTCGCTTTATCAAGCACATGTAGGAGCAGCTCAATCGATGAGTTTTAGTGAACGCGATCAACTTCTTCTTATTCAAGGTCTTTATGTAGGTTTGGAGGAGCAGACTCGACTACAGTCATTCATTAATGAATCTTTGCCAGGCTATATGGTTCAATGGTGTCGCTTCTGGCCGACTAGAAATGTAACTAAATGTCGCGAGTTCCTAAATAAGATAGCTACTGAACTTATAGTACATCTATTTATCGGTTCTCATCGATTAAATACTGATGAAGATGTTCCATCGGGCATGCATAATGGATCGAATTTTTCACTATTTCTCACTAAATTAGCAAATCCTGAAGCATATGCTTTGATGGCGGCAATGCTCAATCAGACGACGCTGCAACTAAAAAACACCGCTGCATCGGATTGGAACATTTTAGCACAACGCATGCGATTCATCTCGGCTGTTTTTTGGGTCTTTCAAGATCATGAAGATTTGAACTGTTATTTATTTTCTGCCGAACAAGATCTTCTCATTCGAACAGATCAATCGGATAAATTAGATCCACAATCCTGGTTTCAAATATGTGATCGGGATTGTTGTGCTGCAAACGGTCGATGGGATGGACTGAATTGATTATGAAACATTTCATGTCAATCTCGATTCCACCACATTTGATAATCTTCTCTTATTCAACTAAAGTGTTAAATAAAAGATATCACAACTTACTGGATTCAATTCCTCAAATCCAAACTAGGCGAGGAAAGTTACTGTTACTTGGCAAAGTAACGGTAACTTCCTTTCCCTAAACAAAATTCGATAGATCCGTGTAAATATAAACTGCTAACTCTTCTTATTTGTCGACTGATCAAATAATCTCCTCTAGGAATACATTGTAATTGTTTTATTCGTCCGAAAACTGAGTATTCGTTGATAAGCGAATGCCGTCTACATTTCTTACCGCTGGCTTTCAGTAGGTCATCTCGAAGTTGTACCAATAGATAATTCAATGGAATTTCTGAACATTATCCATAAATTATCAACATTTAAACTTGAAAAAGCAGCACTTTTCAATTATTACGAAAGAGAAATGACTGAATATCGTTCAAATCATTGATAGGACGAAGAATCTCCCCCCACCCAAGTGTCTCGCGAGTTATGACTGCGTATTAATAGTGGTAGTAGATCTTGACGAGACTAAAAGTCTAAAAGAATTTGGTTGCATTGGCAACTAGTGAAAAGTCGTGACTGGTTTACTGAAGTTTTTACCCATAGCCGGGTATTTTGGAAAAAAAAACAAATTTGAAAGTACCACGTGTCTTCCCTACCCATACTTTGGCCCCATGCACCATTCGTCGAATGTGTGAGGGAAGAAATTGTGGTGCGCTTCATCGGTCATTGAATACACCTCTAATGAAACTTAAAAATATTGCCTATGCTTTCCATCGTGTCTTACTCTTTCTCTGAAACGAATGGTACATCCAGAGATGCGGAAGTACAGATACAACTGGTACCACTCGATTCACAGCTAACTATGTACCACGATGTACCACCCTGTATCTGGTGTGGGTATGAGTGTGAGGTGGGGTCTGGTTGTGGCTGTGGATCTGAATTC